AAATATTTTTCGGTTTGTCTATATTGAAATCACGAATCTTATCCCACAGGAAAAGCCCGTTTTTTAGGGAATCGTTACTAAACAGCGTGCTGGCTGACGTGTCAATTAAAACGTTAAATTCACCTCTATATGTCTCCGTGTATTTATTTGTTGGTCTTTGTCCCTGGTCTCAGTCAAATTGCTTGCTGGGTTTATTGGTGCTTTTTGGTATGTACCTTTCGGCACTAGCATGCCTTGCATTGGTATGCGTGTGTGTGTACTGTCCTTCTTTGACTTTTTGCATTGTACCGTTTTAAAAGTATCGTCCGTTTCTGATTCCGTTAGGTCTGTAGTGTTCGTCTGTCCCTCAATTCTGGAATTTTCCGTGTTCAAATTTTTCTGCATTCTTTTTCTGCTTTTAGTTTTTTTTAACATTTTCTGTCCCGATTATAATTTGTTTAATCATACTTTTGTCTGGCGGTTCGCACTGCTCGGACGCCTTTGCGTCCATCATTTTGGCGTAAAAAAGAAGTTATGCACACTTGAAGTAAGAGACTTAGGTACCCCTTTTTCCTTTATGTTCCATTAGTTTGAGACGTCCCTCCTTATGCACTCCGTTTACACTATTTGTATTACTTATTATTAATATATAACACAAAAATTAAAATAAGTTAAATTCCCAAAGTTTATTTCCTTGTTCTCGATTTTTTAGCTCAGTGATGAAGTCCGTGTTACGCTGGCCGCTGCTCGATGAAAAAGTGCGTGAGGACACATGCGACATCCCGCACATGTAGACAATGTTGCCAGAAGTAAAGATTTATCTTCAAAATGAAGATTTTTTTCAAAAGCAATCGGAAAAATCTTCATATGAAGATATTTTGCAGCACTTGGAGATTTATTTTGGATAGTTGGCAACAAACTTTTCGTTTTTGTCGTCAATTTACTGCTGCACATGTGAAAGTAGGACAGCTGGAGCACTGAACATGATATACACTGTGGTTTTTGGTAGTTGGCACTGGTATGCAGGTGGAAAAAACTTTTCGTTTATGTCATCAATTTACCTTGCAGGACAGGTAGATATTAACATTGATTTTTATGAATATATGTTTGACTTGATTTTGCCTGTGTTCTGAATTGTAAAGAAATTTTTAAGAATTCGTAAAGATCTCATCTGATTTTTTTGCGGAATTTTCTAAAATAGAATCAAGTGTTCACAGTTCGATTCTCAATCATCCCAAGCTAATTATTAATTAATTTTGAAAGTGGTTTGACTGAAAATAAAATAATTAAAGTATCCAAATTCAGTCGTTTTGTTAAGGCCGTATCACACGATTGGAACATTTGTACATTTTTAATATTGGGCTATTGGTCCCAAATGAAAAAATTGGGACCACAATTTTATTCTACACTTTTTCCAACAGTATTTGAGAAAAGCACAAATGTATTTCAGAAAAGACCAAATGTATTTCAGAAAGAACCAAATGAAATTCAGAAAAACACAATTGTATTTCAATAAAGCGCAAATGATTTTCAGAAAAAAACAAATATATTTCAGAAAAGCACAACTGCACTCTAAAAATATTTTCCTAGGCAATTGGACCAAGATTCCAGAAAAGTCTGCCAATGGGACCATATCCAACCTTATTCTAGGCGGAAGTCTTCGCAATCGAAGTCTCTGTTCGCAAATGTCTTCTTGGTAGAAGAACAAATGAGGCCAGAATAAATATTATGTCGGATAGTCAGGCAGCGTTAAAGGCCTTATTAGACTATTTTAAAGCGGAATCAAGGTTTGTGGGCAGCTGTAATACTGTTTTGAACCATCTGAAAGCCCACAATAGCATAACGCTCTAATGGGTTCCCGGACATGAAGAGTTTGAAGGCAAAGAAAGAGCTGACTGTCTCGCAAAGCGTGGAGCCCAAATGCGCCTTTATGGTCCCCGAGACTTTTGTGGGCTGGTGATACCTATGATATAATAGGCCAAAAACAAACAGATAGCCGATTTAGCAGCGCATGTAAACGGCTAAAGACCCATCCTGATCAATCAATCGATAGACACACCGTTTTCTAATTCCATATGACAATGAGTTTTCACTTACATATTTGACGACAAATGCGGTTTAATTTGACATTCCCGGCATAATAATATAATTTGTTTTTAATTTAATTTTTTTTTTAATGTATGTTACCGCATAACTTTAGACCACGTCAACCGATTTCGATAAAATTGCATCGGAAAGGTAGTGTCTCAGAGGTGGTCCGATACTAATCCGGTTTAGATCCGATCATTGGATCATAAGATATATATATATATTTTTTTTTTATATGAGAATTGAAGTCGGTTTTTTTTGCTAAAAATTACTTGCTATTGTACTAGCAATGTTTTAATTTTACTGTACATTAAAAAAAAGAAACAAATCAAAAACTAAAAAAAATGTTGGTAGGTTTTAGTCGGTCTTGGTAGGATATTTTGTAGCAAAAAAAAATTCTCCGTGGCAGCATTGCTATCAACTGTCATTTTTGTTGTTTGACAGTTATTTCCTCATTTCACAGCTGTAGTAGTAAATACAAATTTTGCCTGCAAAGCTCGAACCTTCTTGTTTGGCGACATTTTGCAAATGAAAATTAGTCTGTTCCTTTGAACTTCGGACTAAAACCTGTGGAACTGTCAAACTACAATTTTACTCTCTCAAATGAGAGTAAGAGGAGAACAGATGCAGAAGTGCATAGGAACGCAAAAAGCCCTATTTCCTGTAAAAACGTCAGTCGGTTTGTTTACATGTCATTTGTACAACACTGATTTAGCTGAAATATCACTAAATAATTATTAAAATCTATACATATTCAAACCTTTCGTTGTTTACTTCCATTTTTTTACAAATATAAGGTACTTTTCTTTCACCGCTGTTTGTTTTTGCTTGCACATGCAAATCAGCTGATCGTTTGACACTTTTCATGAACTTACAGGAAAAGAAACTCCGGACTAAATCCTGTAACTTCTGACTAGGAACAGTTGCTCAGTTACTCTCTCAAATGTGTTCCCACTTACAGGTTTTATGTCAATAGGAACGACTTCCTGTAAGTTCTGACTAAATCCTGTAAACCGGACTGCTATTGGAACAGACTAAATGTATGCTGTCGCATTCCCACTCAACAAAACTCTATCTCGCTTCCAAGGTGAATTAACCGTGAGGCGAAACACATACACAAAATCAGCTGATCTATACTCTAAAAAAAAAAATTAATTTCCTAGCTAAAAATAAGGTTACTGATTTCCTTCCTTATTATTCGTGAAATTACATGCTCGATTATTCAACGAATAGCTTGTTTAAATTTCTGACTTTTTAGAGTGTAATATAGCTGCTGTGGTGTGCGTAAATTTACTACGAAAGTATGTACAAGCTACGAAATACACAGTTGCAGTTTGATTTCACCCGTAGAGTTGTGTAAAGCCGCTAACAAAAAGGATTTTTACACACGAAAATGTGTAAACTAGAGGTGGGTAACTCAACTCAGAGTTGAGTTATTGAGTTGATTCCTATAAGTGAGTCGGTAACTCAGACTCCCTGTCCAAAAAAAATGTAACTCAGTAACTCAGTTGATGCCGTAGGGCTCACATGAATCAATTGAATCATAGTGGCTCATATTTGTCCATATAACTCTCTCGCTTCGCCACAGTGTTTAGCATGGCAAAGTCTTGCATTTTGTTTTTGCACGAGGCGAATTTATACAAGGTGGTGGCAAGAATACAACAACAACAACCACATGTATTTTATATTGCGGGTGTTATGTCAAATCTCACAAATTCTTATAATTTCGTTTTCTTTTTAGTTTTTCTCGAAATATGTATGTATGTAAGATATATAAAGATGTGCATATCAAATCAATTGCCTTTCCAACCATATCCACATTTTGAAATTCGGTACAATAGGTTTCGAAATATAAGCTTTTGAAAATATTGAAAATTCCACCTTTACCCTCCCCCTAGCACCGCCCTATTAATTTGCACACAAAAAAAATTACACCTTTCAAATCAGTAGAAAGGAGCTGACCACGCCCACTTTAAAGTTTTGTTTTATCTCAACGGCCGCTATACCGCATCTATGCCTCAAAACGAGTCTACGATACGAATGAGTGTAACATACAAAGAGTCAAATGAGTTAGTTGAATGAGCTGACTCCTTAAAGTGAGTTGGAGTCATTGAGTCAACTCCTATAAATTTGCTGAGTTACCCACCCTTAGTGTAAACGAGAAAAATACATATTCATCGCGCAAATTTACCAAAAAAATTTTAAAAGTAAACAAAAATATACTCAATTTATAGTTCGCCTTGCTCGCCTCCGAAAAAAAGTAGAACGCAAACGAGAGTTTCAAGCATGTGAAGACGGCGGGTAATATGTAAAAAAAAATTTACTAATTGTAGAACAAAAAAATATACCGAGAACAAAAATATTGATGGCTGAGTGGAAGATCGACCTATCCAGTATCCAGTATCCGGCAGCCAGTTCGAAAACGCTCTATCTCAGAAAACTTTTCAAAATCGCCCTACTTCAGAATTTGATTTAAAAACGCCATATCAGACTTTAGTGGAAGAAGGCCCTATCTCAGCTGCCGATTCAAAAACACCCTATTTCAGCTTATTTTCAACGTATTTACCTTTGAGATAGGGCGTTTTTGAAAGGAATTCTGATTTAGGGCGTTATTCAACCAAATTCTGAGATAAGATGTTTTTCAATAAAATTGGAAAATAGAGCGTTTTTAAGCAAATTCTGAAGTAGAGCGTTATTGGAAGGCTTTCTGAGATAGGGTGTTTTCGAACTGGCTGCCGAGATAGGTCGATCTTCCGCTCAGTCATCGATATACAGACAATTGTTGAAGATACATACTTATAGGTATATTTTTAATCAACTTATTTCAAGGCTTTGTGCCTAGATTTGTACAGCTAATTACTAACGTCTTCCTGTTTTCACCCATCACTGAGATTTCAAACTCAAATTCATTAATAAAAAAGTGCAATACATACTTCTTGCTGTTGGTCTTCAAATAGGCTCGGAGTTCTCCATGACGTGCTAGTTCCATAACAATCCAAATTGGTGACTCACTGCATATACCAATTAGCCTTATTATATGTGGATGGTCGAATTTTTGCATTATATCTACAATTTAAAATAAAATAATGCTTAAAATATCAAACCCATATATTGATTGCATACATGCTTCCTCTAGAAATTGCTCCATTTTTTGTGGATCATCGCTTGCTTTGCACGTTTTGACTGCCACTTGAATTACAGACGATTTCATTTCTATATTACCCAATATATTTGGTTTGGCATTCTTCTTAGCCTTCGGAAAGTATGTGCCTATATGAACATCACCAAACTGGCCAACACCAATTTTTTCATTGAGATTTATCTGAGATCTTTCTAATTCGTAATTTCGAGCTAAAATACGATTTTTTCAATATTTATTTGTGGGTTATTATTCATTCTTTCATCTTGTAAATTCTAAATAAACATACCCGTTGGCGTAGAGTAGTCTCCCTCTTCATCTATTAGACCTATTTCAGCGTAATCTTCAGTTAAGGTGGGCTTTGATTTTCCGCAAGTTTGAGTAGTCGCTCCACCGTCCGTCGAATCTCCGCTGTTGTTCTTTGTCTTGCCTATTCCGTTATTTTGTTTCTCCTTTAAAGCTGCTGTCGCTGCATTTAAACCATTATTTATACTATTACCGTCGTTCCGTTCCCATATAGAAACATAACTGCTACCATGGATTAAACAGCAATATCCGTCAATAAGATCGGCAATACTTTCAGCCGTCTAAAAAGACAAAAATTAAAGTGTTATCAAAGGCAAAAATGATTAGGGTTTTGTTTAATATAAGCTTACATTTATGCCATCACATGTTATGACTAAGTCTTCATCGTTGCTTCGAGTGGTTATTCTCAGTTGAGTTTTCACTTCCCAACATTTGCATGGATCATATTTGTCTTCTGCATTAGTAGCATTTGGAAAAGGTTTTTTGGATTCTTTGCTAACATTATCTCTGGGTATAGCAAGTGTTACAATTTTTATTATGTCTTTGAATGTTGCGACGCCAGTCAGGTCAGCTTGTGGATGAGTTTGATAGGAAATTCCTAAAATATTTAACGAAATATTTTTAATTTATGAGCACGCGATGTTGTTTTGAGAGAGGTACCGATTTGTGGACCGATGTATAGAATGCCGGATATATTCCATGCTGAGCTTAATGTTACTGAAAACTTTTCGTAACTATTAATTTTACATGATTGCAGAAGTTCAAAAAACCTAAGAAATTATTTTAAAAATACATATATTTGTACAAGTTGTATATATTCAGATTGTACATATGTACATATTGAAATAGTAGCAAAATTCAAAATTATATTTTTTCAGCGGTGCAGATGGAAGCCGAACTGAAAATCGCAGACGACCTCAGAACATTCCTACCCAAGCTTAATTTCGATATCCCTAGACATAATTACGACATAAAACTAATCAAATCATTAAGTTAGCCAGGCTTCGGACAGGCACTACACTCTTTAATACATCACACTTTTTCACCAAAACACTTCCACGATCATGCTCTTTTTGTGCAACAACCCTCACTATAGAGCATGTATTAACAACCTGCCCTCACTCGTTATTAAAAAAAAAAGCATCAAGGAAACACTAAATTGCAGGAACAGCAACATTATAGAAATAGACGAAGCACTTCGTATACATCACCGCAATGAAGAAACTTAACAAAATACACATATGTATTCTAAGGCGCTCAATGGAGGTCACGTCCGGTGCCTATATCATACTTTGCAAATTCATTTGCAAACTATGCTAAATAAATAATATTTTTTCAACTTATGCTTATTTATTTTGAATAATTTTTATTTAAAATTTAGTCCGATCTGCATAGAAATCACATACAGTAACGATCCAATAATCAAAGCGATTTTTTAGCAACTAGCAAACTTTTGTTAACAACATTTAAATAAAATAAAGTGTAAGTATCAAGTTACTAAAAATTAACATTGATTTCTTAGATTTTTTTTGTTGTGCAGGTGTTGGGAATTTTCTTCCATATAAAAATTTTCTTCCGACAAAAAAATTCTAAAAAATCAACGGTAATTTTGAGTTAATTGAAACTTGTGCTTTATTATCATTAAATTTAATGGGCTACAAAACTGCATACTCGAAAATTAAACAAAAAAAAAACTATGAATAAAAAGCTTGCATTTTTTATTACTTTTTTTTTAACTTTAAATTTTAAAATAATTAAAAATAAATAAATAAACTTAATTGGAGATGGCGTTTTAAGCTTTTTTGCTGGCCAATTAATTCTTCTTATAAAGAATTAGGAAGTAACTTTAAATTACAAAAAAAAATAAATAAATAAACATAAGTTGCAAACAATATCATTTGAATTTTGCTAATATTTTATTGCCCGCAGCTGTATGTACATACACATGTTAGATCAGAAGTTTGGATTTTTTCTTACTTGCTTATGTATTCAATATCGGTAAAATTATACACTTTCTTGTATCCAGCTTGAATTAATTTTTTCAAATTCTTTGGCTTTACTGAACTTATCACAGATTTAGGAAGAAAAGAATTTAAACCAATTTCCTTCTCAACATAGTCAATATGATGTTTTTTATCTGGGGCTTTGATGATCGTATTTTTAAAGTAATGCCGGATACTTAAACAACATAACAGTATCGCCGTATCGACATCGATTGAGGGGTCCGACAAAACGTAATCTTGCTTGGCCTAAATTAAAATGGAAAACAATTATATAGCTAAGGTTACATAAATATGTCACTTACTTGATCAAAATAATATAAACAACTTGTCTTATCCTCCTCATAGAATTCAGCTAAACTATTTGGAATGTAACGTATCCGTAGCTCAGCCCGCCAAACACTATTTACCGAATTTCTATTGCTACTCTTCACTCTTGTATTTTCATAACTGGAACACTCAAGATTTGGACAAATCGGATACCATATGTATCTCATGACCTGATTCATTCCCGTTGACCTGGTCATCCATAATATTTCCTTTGTTACAACGTTATTCAATCGGAGAGCATAAAAATGAGCATTCGGCATATGACCTGGTATTAAACTACGCACAGCACGTTCTATTACATGCTGTACAGTATCGTTTGCCTCGTTGATATTGATAGGCCGCATGCCTTTGTTGGGCATGTGTAAATGCAGAACCATTTGTTCTAAATTATGAACGAAAATTATTAAAATAAGATTTTACACAACATAATTTCCGAGCTTTCTTGCCTTCATTTTGCAACGAAGGAACCTGCTGAGTAGCAAACCCGCACGAAGCTTGTGATTTCGACATTAGGGTGTATTCTAAAAAAAAAATAAATGAAAGTATTTTAATTAATATGTAGATATAAGTATCATTAGCTACCATAGAACTGTTCATAAGCATAGAGATGACATGCATTGAATTAGTTTAAAAGGAGAAACAATAGGAGCCTAGTTATTGCCAATTATAATTTGATTCAAATACCTGATTATACTATTATGTGTAAACACGAAATGTCGATTGTGCTATGTTTGGTGGGCGCCGGCGTTTTCATATATTATTATCATTCTAATTTTTTCGCTATTCCGTTTCCTATAAATATGTATGTATAATTAAATCAGCGTTCCAAAGCTTACACATATATACATATTATGTATAAACGCACGGTGGTATAAACGTATACGTATGCCGATACATATTTTTGTTCACATCATCTCGACAGCAACAAATACCATTTGCTTTATTTCAATGATGATATGTTATTACACCCACCTAATCATGAAAGGGAAATAAACGTGTTGGGCAAGCCATGTTGTCTCACTTTTAATTTATGCCAACGAATTCGGCATTTGTGCATACATTCCGTTGAAATTTCGACATCGCAAAGCATAACCCTAATTCACTAAGCTAGATACAAAAAAAAAAACTAAAGGTGCTTGCACCCATTTCACATATCAATATATATGCATATGTACATACATATGTTTTTGGGTACATGTGAATTTGTATGAGACCATCGGACCACTTGCGATTCACGCCCAAATTTAGCATTGAATAAGTTATTTTCCTCAGTTCACAATACATATTTTAAACAGTTTTCTTAACCTTTTAATCCAACTTGAACATGTTTTCCACTTTACCTATAATACATCAAGGTGTTGTCAATCTTACATTTATAGTGAACGTCGCATTTCCTTTTCGATTTCACCGCCTCTATATTTGTTGCACACATAAAAACCGCATTATTAAAGTGTTCTATTGCTTAACACCACTACGCAGCTACTTTCTAGAAATTTAGAGAAGATATTTATTAGATATTTATTTATTAGAGAAAATATTTGATAAGTAGGTATATTTGTTACCAAACAGATTGATTAAGCTCAATGTTACCACATGGCTGTGATTTTATTGACAGTTGACCGTACAGGGCTACCACAGTTTTTAATTCGCACTTAAACTGTTGCCAGTCAGATGCCATAAATGAAATAATGACATCTTATTTGTGAAAATTCTCGTGTTTTTATTCTTGGTTAATGATACATTCTCCCAGGTAGAGAATGTTTTTCCCAGCATTGAAGTCGCGATTCCAGCATGTACAACATTTTTGACAAAACTGGTACCTGTGTGGCGATTTGGACGTCAGGTTTACGTTGTAACACTTGGCGCAAAGTTTGGTTGTCCAGAATTCATTAACCATCAGAATATCTGCTTGCCGTTGTTTTAGTGCTGCGATTAGTAACCGATTTGGTGTACGCCTATATCCGCGTATTGGCGAGTTCGCAGCAATCTCTGTTGATCCGATGCAGATTAACGTTTTCTCTTCTTTGTTTGGTACCAGTTGTTGCGCAATTTGGTTGCAGGCTTTTTGTCGGCAAATGTATTTCTTCAGCTTCAGCCGAGCCACCATTCTTTGCGAGAAAATTTTTTGTTTTTGCTCCAGTATTTCAAGTTCAAATTTACAGTATTCACGGAAGTTCGATGAATTCGCAGACAATTCTGATTGCATCGTGAAATCTTTCGTATATTTATGTAGATTTATTTTGTGAGAATGGAAACCAGAAAGGTGTTGATAGTACAAATTTTTTAACTTAATAAATGGTGTGATCGATTGCCCTACGCTCCTAGAGCAGGTCAACTTCAATGCTCCTCTAAGGAATCTTCGCAATCCTCTGCCGTTTTATGGAGGAAATTGTAAAACGGAGTATGCCAGAAATGCTCCTATTTCAAGAGCTTTAAACGAATTTAACACGATCTCGAATTCTATCGAACTGGATTTCTCTCTTCCAAAAAGTTTATTTATTTTATCTTTGGTCTCGAAACTGTAGAGTGCTTTATGTTTTACACGTATCGTCTAAGTAGCTAAACTTTCATCTCTAGTCTGTAAGGAACGTCTGTTTCATATGACTGCAATAAATTAAAAAAAAAAAATAATAATAATTTTTAAAACATTATTTGCCAAGGCATAACTTTTTTGCATCCTATACATTGCCATATTATAAACTCATGACACAAAACACTGTTTAGCTGCTTGGGCAACTTTCCTGGGTTATGTCGTTATGCCATGGGTTTGGATCTGCTACGATAGAGCCGGATGGGTGGCTTTTTTTCGAACAATGTGTCTTCTAACAGCTAATTGGTCGAAAAGAATCTTCCCTACAAGACGCGAATGACAGAAACTCTAACACATTCTCAACGAAAACTAACACATATGCAAAATTTTATATGCCAGTTTGGCTCCGTAGGGAATGACTGTCATTTGATAGATCAAGTGAGTGTCAATGCTGATAGAAGTCAAGAATGATAGAATACAAGATTGCGCCCAAGGCGTATTTAACAAGGTGGTGTTGGCCGTATATAAGTAAAAAATTACACTAACAAATTATACGCTGATGTCCATACTGTCATTGGTATGAGTTACAACAAACNCAAGAATGATAGAATACAAGATTGCGCCGTCCTGGGCGTTGACATTTGTGTACCACAAGTAAACAAAGAATAGAGCGAAAAGAAGAACGAGTTGAAACAGCGAAAGCAGTTCACTTTACTGCGAAAAACGTGTTTTAATTTTGCTAAATGCGAAATTATCGCATTTTTCACCTAATCTATTAAAGAACAGTGGACATTGCAGTGCACTCCATTGTTTTGCAATTGAGGCTGCTTCAGCAAACGTTTTAGTGCACTCCATTGCTTTGCAATTAAGGCTGCTGCAGAAAACTACAGCAGCATCTCTGCGGGACTTATTAGTTAACTTGCTAATGGAGGCTGCGTGGAGCAGAAACAAAATCATTGTGAGGAAATGCTGTTAATATAATAATAGAGAAACATTTCGGGAACGGCTTTGCCGTGCCCTATGTACACAAAATGCAGCGATTCGTCCCAGCGCTACACTTGCATCTACGCTTCTTGCATCTGGACGTTTGTCGCAATTTAACACACAGCACTTCATTGTATTAGTTTTTACGCAGTCTTCAACTCAAAAATCACTCACTAATTGCAAATTAACACGATTTAAACTGATTTTTCACTTATAATTCAAATTTCTCTTTCGCTGATTTGTAAACAAAAGTTTATTTACAAGTTACCACAACTGTCAAAATCGGCGCCACCTTTGTTCGCTGCACCGTGGATAGAAGTAACGGTAGTTGGTTGCCATAGTAACCACAAGATTCACTAGGGCTGCATTTTGTGCGCAACAAAAGTAGTTGTACCTGCCAAATAATGTCGAGTACTGAAGTACTTGGATATAATTTTGAACTTAATTAGTTTAATTTTAATTTTATCGACCTCGCTCATAGCAAAAGTAAGTAAAAATAAAAGTTTTCATTGTGGTATGACATTCTTATTATATATAAACGTAATAAATAAAACCGTATTATAAAGTACTTGGTACTGAAGAAGTTCAAATGCGCACATCAACAGAAAAAAGAAAGACGCAAACATGAACGAAAGACACAAGATCACGCCTTACAGCTCAGTTAGTCTAGACTTAATTTCCGTAACGTAACTTAACTAAATATTTCGGCCAACCTGTTATATGAGAAACTGTGTTGGCGGTTAGTTAAAACTTAACTTAGCGTAAGAAACTTAAGAACCTGTAGATTTTAGGTTCTTAAGTTACGGTCTTACGGAAATTGAGAGCGGTGAGAGAATCAGGCTTGCCAGACTCTCGTTTTTGTATTTCTTAAAAATAAATGAAAGCAAACATTGTTGTTTGCATGATTTTTTTTGATGTGGCATTTAAGGCGGCGAACTGTTAAACAGCTGAAAAAGAAAATACAAAAACAAAATATTTCCGCTCTTGGCTTAAGTTGACGTGTTGAGTAATCATTGATGATTTCTTACGGTAAGTTAAATTAAGTTAAGTCTAGACTAACTGAGCTTTTAAGGAAAGAAAGAAAAAAGTTATTTTCTAGCTGTTGAAATCTCGACGCCATCTTTGTTGTAAGAAGTAAACAACGAAGAGAACAAAAAAAAACGCGTAATTTTTGAACGCATGAATAATCATTTTTATTATGCAAATTCTCCTATAAATCATGTCGTTGTGTTAAATTATTCTTTACCTTATGTGTGCACACGTTGTCACAAGCGAAAATTAAGAAAATTGCAGTAAAAAGCCACCACCAATATGTAAACGAACGAAATGTAAACAAACGGCTTATGTCAAAATCGCCCTACTTTTTTCATAAGTGCGATTATAACGGGCCACTCTTCTGCTGTCGTGATCTTGTCTTTTTGGTTCATGAGACGCAAAACGAAAAGATGTTCAAAACTTAAAGTGCTGTGGAAAAATAAAGATAAGTTTTATAAAATATTTCATTTAAAATGAATAATTTCTGACAAAAATTTAGATGACATCGCCAGTTCTCTGCCACTGCAGTCCGATTGCGCTGTGGATTTAATGGAAACCAAGTTACGAGATCCAGAGTATGCACAAGCCATGGTAAAGAATTACATGATGGAATGCTTATTTTACATTCTAATTGCTGTACATATATTTTCAAAAGGCCACATATATCATAAAATTAAAAGGTGTATCTGAGGACGTAGGCAGCGTCATTAAACATCTATTTACGGACGAAACATTGCTGCAATTCAACTGGGACGGAAGATGGGAGAGAAAACCACTGAACAAACTCATGCTGGTTGACACAATCCTACGAGGTAATTACGTTCTGACCATTTATTTTTTTTTTAGTTATATGTATTTATGCACCTATATAAAAACATTTCTAACACACTTTGTAAAAAATTATCAAAAAACAACGCAAGGTTTTAGCCGCTTAAAACTTGCACAATATTATGCTGACGTTGAATGCGCTGTAAATCTGCATACCCGAATTTGTTTCTAGAGAACGTGATTTAAAAGTTATAAATTTTGATTACCATTTTTGGAAATTTTGCGATTTTTAATGAAACTTTGAGTTGCAGGGTTTTCGTTTTGGTATAAAATATATCTGTATAAAAGTTAAAAACAAATAAAGTAAAAAATAAATGGTCAAAACTTATAAAGAAATAGTATCTCTAATTATGTGGCAACTACCGTATGCATACAAACATATCTTTTAACAATAAAATGTTTTTTGATAATCTATTTCATGCCACATAGATGCATTTAACAAGAAAGGTGCAGTTGAGTTGGAAAAGGATATCAAAAAGGTAGTTGAGCTGAGCTATCACCGCTTCGGCCAAAAAATTTTTTAACAAAAAAATCAAAAAACATCTATAATTTTAAGATTATTTAATATTAGATTTAAGTACGTACATATGAACGCTAGTGTCAGAAATAATATAAACGCCTTATTTTGATTAATTTTTCGCTAAATTGCCTTTGTTTTTTAATGTTTAATGCTTATTTAATATTCAATGTTTATTTAATGTTCGATGTTTATTTAATGTTCAATGTTTATTTAATGTTCAATGTTTACCTTACCAATACCTTTTTTCTGAATTTTGGTACCATAATTTCGAACGCAGCTGTATGTATGTTTTTATGTTTTCTGAATTTTTAGTTCGTAAGGCATGCATCAGTTTGCTACTAACTTTTTAATGTTCAGTAATTAGTTTATAAGATTTTGTGGAAAGGTATTTAACAAAAAATCCCACTCTGTTCAATATCTGTTTTATGTATGTACATGTATACGCTGGTTGCAGAACTATAGAAACGCCTTATTTTAACAAATTTTTGGCTACATTTCCTTTGTGTTTATTTAGGCTGCATTTCTTTATTCATTCTGAACGTTTGGAATAAACTTTTTTGTTTACTTATTCCTTAGAACGTTCCTGATTATATGTTGTCGTATATTTCAAACGCATTCTGTTTATTCCGGCTGTGAAATGGGATTATCCGGAATGTATAAAGAAACGCAGCCTTAATGTTTAATGTACAAAGTTTGAAATGTGGATTTGTATGGCGTTTGTCATACAACTAGCTAGACTTTTATAATAGAATCTAGTGGCGCAATTTTCTGTTTCACCCTTATGACGGTTTTGTAATGTGTTTACATAAATTGTTAAAACACACGAACAAATTTGCCAATTACTTCGAAATGTACATGTCAACAAACTAAATTCTGATGTTGTCAGCGCTTTTCTGTATACT